TGAATTCCAGCACTGCCCTAACGGCTGAGAACACAATTTATTCATCAGTGGCACTGTAACAAGAAAAGCCATTTATGTAGCTCTGATTCCTGTTATTTTGAATTGCAGCTGACTCCATCTGCATTCCTGAAGGAGATGTCTCTTACTACGGAGCAGAAGCTGGCTAGTACTCATGAGATGCGGCCACCTCGCATTATTGAGCTTTTAAACATGAGTGAAACCTCCCATCAAAAGGTAGCACTTCCCAGCCCTTACTTTCAGCTCCCTTTTTCTTTCTGTCTATTGTGCATGATGTTTAAAGAGGCGCAGCCAATGGGATTCAATTTGTTTAAATCCGGCACACAGTAGGCCTGACTCACCTCTCAAACCACTGATTTCAAGGCTTTTGATAGTCTCCCACAATATTCTTGCCAGCAAGTTAAGGGAATATGGATTGGATAAATGGATGGTAAGATGGATAGAAAGCCGGTTAGAAGGCTGAGCCAATGTCAGGATGGCTGTCAGTTTCTAGCGGAGTGCCCCAAGGTTTGGTTCTAGGACCGGTTTTGTGTAATATATTTATTAATGATCTGGATGAGGGGATGGATTGCACCCTCAGCAAGTCTGCAGATGACACTAAGCTAGGGGGAGAGGTAGATACGCTTGAGGGCAGAGATAGGGTCCAGAGTGACTTAGAAAAATTGGAGGATTGGGCCATAAGAGATCTGATGAGGTTCAACAAGGACAAGTACAGATTCCTGCACTTGGGATGGAAGAATCCCAACATTATTACAGGCTGGGGACCAACGAGCTAATTAGTAGTTCTGCAGAAAAGGACCTGGGGGTTACAGTGGATGAGAAGCTGGATATGAGTCAACAGTGTGCCCTTGTAGCCAAGAAGGCTAATGGCATAGTAGGTTGCATTAAGAGGAGCATTGCCAGCAGATCCAGAGATGTCATTATTCCCCTTTATTCGGCTCTGGTGAGGCTACATCTAGAGTATTGGGCCCCCCACTACAAAAAGGATGTGGACGCATTGGAGAGGGTCCAGCGGAGGCCGGCCGGCTTCATGCAAATGAAGCCCGGGAAATTCAAATCGCGGGCTTCATTTGCAACTGCGGATGACTACATTACCCCCGCTAGTTCGAACTAGCGGGGTAGTGTAGACATGCCCTGCTTGACAAAGCCTTGGCTAGGTTGATTTAGTTGGGATTGGTCCTGCCTAGAACAGGGGGCTGGACTTGATGACCTTCTGAGGTCTTTTCCAGCTCTATGATTCTATGATAATGGAGTTACTCAGAGTATGCACTCGTGTAAGTGAGAGGGCCTCCATGTGGTTCATGGTGAAAGGGACAGATTCTGGTCTCATTTTTACTTGTCTGAATGCAGAGAATCTCAATTGACGTGAATGGAGTTTGTCTGGATTTTCATTATTTCTTCTCCTCTTCCTCCTTCTTCTTCTTCTTCTTCTTCTTCTATATTACTACTAATATACAAAACGTCTAGATTGGCCTCTGCCCCTCCTCTCCACGTGGACTCTCCGAAGGAGGAGGAGTGGGAGAGAGAAAGCTAAGGGGCGCAATCTCATGCCATTGAGATCCCGCGCTTCATTAGCATGTTCCTGGCCGGTCGCCATTTTAGAAGCTGACTAGCCCGCAGTAACTGCCCACGTCTTCTCGCGGCAGTGAAACAGGATTCTGAATTAAAGCCCTAACTCATTTTAGAAATTGACTAGCCCGAAGTAACTGCCTGCATCTACACGTGGCAGTGAAACAGGATTCTGAATTAAAGCCCTAACTCGAATTAGCTGGTAAACCTCATTGCAGGAGGAATAACAGCTAATTCGATTTAGGGCTTTAATTCGGAATCCTGTTTCACTGCCGCGAGTAGACGTGGGCAGTTACTTCGGGCTAGTCAATTTCTAAAATTGTACATGTACATGTACATGTATTCCAGTTGTGAGTGTGCATGCGTACTAGCTACTAGGAGCGGGAAGGGTTTCATAGCAGGACTTACATGTGCATTGTGCATTTCCACATGCTCTCAGAGAAGGGTGTAATAGTCCACGTGGTCAACGTCTCTGCACTTTCCTTTTGCTGCTGCAAGGCTAGAGTTAGAACCCCTGTTCCTGTTTACACTAAGAGAGATTTTTGTCTTTCTGTATAGAGCTCCTCTTTTGTTTGTAGAGTTCATTTTAAATAGCTGCTCAGGGACTGGACCCCAACCTCAGGGACCATGCCTTGTAAGTTAGGGTTCAAGAGCGGTGCTATCTGCCCTTGACAGTTCCCTGTGAACAGTTAGCACCAACACTCTCTGTACTGCCTCAGGAAAGTCCATATCACTGCTTGCTGCCCTATTTGTAAGGCTTTGCTGGAAGGTGCAACAACTTCAATTTAGAAAGCAGCCTGTGGAGGAGAGACCCAGGACCATTAAAACTGGCAGTGCAGTGTCACTCACTGGTGGTAAGTTTGACTCCCGGCACTTGCCATCCTTGGGATCTGGGAGTTCCGGGCAAGCCCAAGCACAAGAGTAGGAAGCACTCTCATTGGCCTAGAAGCAAATCCCCGTGGAGGACTACTTCTACATGCAGTGTTTTCTCCCAAGCTGCACCAGGTTGGGTGATGTGTCGCACACGGACGGCCCAGCTTCGCTGTCTTGAGGGCAAAACTAAGCAGAAAAGAGACCTAGTGGCTGCCCGCTTTCCCCTGTGGCAGACAAGCTGGTTCTGCTCGTGCTGGAGAAGGTCATACCTACACCACACTAGGGTCTGTCCACACTGCTGGCTTCTCCTCTGCTGAAGGCATCTTTGGACTCAGGGCTTTTCTGAACCACAGCAGACATTTTCTCTGCTATCCAAGTGTAGCTGTGACTCTTGCTCCTCGCTGCCTCCACTACTCCTCTGCAGTGTGGTAATTTCACATTGCGAACTAATAGACTCACCACGTTCAAGGACAAGCTCCCCCAGTGGATGAAAGGCACCGTTGTAGCTGATGTCAGATTCCCAGCAGTGGTTAACAAGGCTGACACATCCTTGTGTTCATGTACCACAGGTGTTGTCATGCATTGTGAGTCCTGGCTACAGTCCTCTGGTTTCCCTGGAGAGGCACAAATGACCATAGAGGATCTCCCCTTTGAGGACAAGTTGTTCTATGCTAAAACTGATGATCACCATCACTCATTAAAGGACTTGAGGGCCATGGTGCATGACCCAGGACCTTAGCCACAGCCACTTCATCAATCCTCATCCACAAGCAACTCTAGGTACATCTTTGATGTGTTGATTGAAAGCTGCCAATCTTCCCCCCCTTACCACCTGTGGCCTACATGCCACTTTTGGGAGCCATCTTGCTCTGTTTGCCCACAGTTGGACAAGATTATTATGGATTGTGGGGTGCTGGAGATAATCCACGATGGACACTCCATAGAATTTCTTCCATTTCACCCAACCCAGACACCGCCAGGGGACCCTACTCAACAAGAGGCAGAAGCTGTTCTTGCAATGGATGCCATAGAGACTGGAGGCTTCTTCTCCCCCTCCTTCCTCACCCCAAGAATGGTGGAGGTGCTGCCCCATTCTAGACCTGTGCATACTAAATAACTTTATCCAAAAGTCCATGTTATATATGATGATGTTAGCTTCTGTTGTCCCCTTCTCAAAGGCCTGCTTTGCAGCCCTCAATATGAAGGGTTATGTTCAGGTTGCTGGGAACCAGGTGAACTAATTCAGATGGGACCAGGCACTATTTGTGTCACCAGGTATCAGGCCAAGATGAGGATACTGGGAATCAGGCCTGTCACAATACATAGGGCTAGGTGAGCATTCCAGGCAGCAGCCAGCGAGAGTTGTGCAGACAACTTCCTATACTTCTCTTTGGGTTTAAATAGGAAGCTCTGACCAATCAAAGGTCGCAGGCTTTTCTGATCAGGTTCTCCCTGATGTAGCTTCAAGTCTGATGATCTCTCCACTAGGTTGCTTGGTACCAAGCTGCTGAGTGAGAACAGAGAGGTGCACCCAGGTTGGAGACTTTCAAGGTCATGATTCTATGATTCCATGATACACAGGGGTTACATAAGGGAATGCTCCTCTGGCAGCTTGGATGTGCGCTCAGCAGCATGAACAACTGTCAAGGGAGTCAAGAAGTAGTTCACAGCACAAACTGACAAGCCTCACATTTGTGGATGAAAACCTGGCCCCACTGCAGTCAATGGTAAAACTCCCATCGGCTTCAGTGAGGTCAGGATTTCATCACATAGGGCTCCTATGTCTAGAATAGTGGTTTTAAATTTATAATCCGCAGGTGTGCAGACCATGTCTTAAGATATCCATAGGGTTCTAAACTCATGGAAGATTAGGGCTGGAAGAGACCTCAGGAGTCATCTAGTCCAATCCTCTGCTCAGAGCAGGACCAACTCCAACTAAATCATCCCAGCCAGGGCTTTGTCAAACCCAGTCTTAGAAACCTCTAGGGATGGAGATTCCACTTCCTCTCTAGCGAACCCATTCCAGTGCTTCTCCACCCTCCTAGGGAAATAGTTTTTCCTAATATCCAACCTAGACTTCCCCCACTGTAACTTGAGCCCATTGCTCCTTGTTCTGCCATCTGTCACCGCTGACAGCAGCCTCTCTCCATCCTTTTTGGACTTCCCTCCACCTGAAGGTTGCTATCAAATCCCCCCTCACTCTTCTGCAAACTAAATAAACCCAGTTCCCTCAGCCTCTCCTCATAAGTCATGTGCTCCAGCCCCCTAATCATTTTCAGTGTCCTCTGCTGGACACACTTCAGTTTGTCCACATCCTTTCTGTAGTGGGGCCCCCAAAACTGAATGCACCTCTATTTCCAATTTTTTTAGGGAGCCACAAATGAAAAAAGGTTGAAAACTACTGACATAATCTCAGATGTCCCTTGTGGGTCTTGGTGCAGGATGCCTCCTTATTAGAATGTGGAGATGGTACCTGCTTGTTAGTATAAGGATAGGCACAGTCAGATTAAAATATTTAGGGCTAACGTAAGAATCTCCTCCTAATATCTGCTGCTTATGTGTCAGTGCATGCTCAGGGAATAGTGTGAAATAATACATATGTAAAAGAACAAACTGGTTTAAAACACACCAGAAAAGATTATGTAACCAAAATTCTGTCCTCATTTAAATCCTTCAGTGACATCAAGGTAATGTGAAATCATATAGCTTTCTCCTTTGTCATCTTTTGCTGAACTCTGAACGGATAGCTGCATTGCTTCTCTCAGTCCCTTTCCTTACTAACAGCAAATCTCTCTGCCCTCTAGTGTCATGGGCCAGATCGTCAAATGCATTTAAGCACCTTATTCTCATAGTCTCCTCAAAGGCATTTAGGTGCCTAATTCCCACACCTTACTCCTGTGCAAGCTAGGTATTTAAATATCTCTGGGGGGCTGGACCTTGATGTCTTTTCTTCATAGTGAATGCAATCTATAAAATCAATAGGCAACAATTATCCTTAGAGTATCCCAATTGGGACCCTGATGTAAATTCTTTGATTTCAGTTGCTCCATTGCTCTTTTGGGGAGTGTTCACTGCAAACCTTATTATTGCAGCTAGAGATGGTCTAGATTGCATCCTGCTAAAGAGCAATTCAGAATTTGCATTCATGACCCCTCTCCTCCCAGCATTTCTGTATCTGCTTACTGAGTGTCTCTTTACATCTTTAGTTTTCTTCAGTTGATCTGGAGCAGAGTTTGTTCCAGCCCTTCCCATCAGAGGTGGTATTTCAGAACTATGTCGCTTGTGAGACCTATGAAGTCCCACTGATTCTGAGGAACAACGACAAGGTAAGAGCCAACACTCGGTCCTTTACCAGCCTATCATGTCTAATTTCTGTAAGTTGTGTACTACACTGATCATTATGCTGTCAGCTTGTGTTGGAGCATGGCAGGGTAGAGCTCCCTAACCTAGGGTTAGGATTCCTAAGGGCAGGGCTCCCTATCGTAGCATTAGTGTGACAGTCCCCCCTCCCCCATGCTGTATGAAATTGTCTTGTGTACACACACAGGCATAACTCGAAGATGCTTTGGACAAAATACCTATTTTAATGTCACAACCTGCAGGGTCGGTTTATCTTACTTTGGTGTATGTATCATTCTTGCATGTAAAGTTACAATATGTGGTATGGAATTGTTTATGGTTTTAAATGTGCAAATGAAAGCCATCAAGGATGTCTCCAATGCTTTGGCAACCTTAATGACTGGGTGATCAACTTAATGGCCTGTAAACAGCCGTGTTTTGTCTCTTAAGGTTGGTCCTGGAAAGACATGTGACCATGGCAATTTGTACTAGAATTATACTGACAGTCCTGATTTTTAACCTCCTGTCCCGGAGTCCCCGTGAAGCCTTGAAATGTCCTGAAAAGTCCTGAGACTCCAAACGCAGCTGCGCATGGCTTTTTCCTCTCCTCCTCCCTTGCTGGAGGAATAGGAGTCGTGGACACTTCCTGCTCCCGCTGGGAGGCGGGAAAACAAGTGATTTGCAAGGGGGTAGAAACTGGGAACCTGGGCGCGAGACTCAGCTGGGCTGCAGGGGAGAGGGGAGGTGCCAGGAACCCAGGCACAGGGGTCAGCTGGGCTGCAGGGGAGGTGCCAGGAACCCGGTAGGTGGCTCAGCTGGGCTGCAGAGGATGGGGGGAGGTGCAGAGAACAAATGGGCAGCTCAGCTAGGCTGTGAAGGGGGGCACAGGGAACCACGGGGCTACGGGGGAAAGAGGGGAGGCATAAAAAACTGGTGCAGGGCTCAGATGAGCTGCGCGGGAGGGGCAACAGCAGGGGACTTGAAATGACCTCCCCTTGTCTGGAAAAGTCCCTCATCTGGGACCAGTCCCCTCCCTCCTGGCCAGACACCCTACCCCACCCTGCTCCTCCATCCACTGTTGCTCCTGCACCCTCCCTCCTTCCCTCCTAGCCACACACTGCACCCTCCCCCGCTCCTGCTCCCTCCCCCTGGCCAGATACCGTACTCCCGCCCTACCTCCCTCCCAGACCCTGAACCCCATCCCTATCCCACTCACTGGCAGCCCTGTCCCACACACTGAACCTCTCATTTTTGTCCCCACTTCAGAACCTAAGGGGAGTTCATACAATTCACCAGAAAAGCAAATCTGGCCAGTGGGAAGCCCTGAACCTCAGACCTTCCTATCCCTTCCCCTCACCCCGTAGAGCACCACTGGAATGAGATTCTGAGTTGGGGGCCTTCTCAGTGAGGGTTGGAGGTTTTGGAAGAAGTTGTTCTGTTTCTCACTTGTGCGGTCCCCAACTCATTTTTCTGTAGTTCAGTGGCCCTGACCCAAAAAACTTTGCCTAACCCTGCCATAAATAAAGAAAACATTGGAATCTTTTATGTTGGACATGAATTAATATTTTACTTTATTTAAAATGAAGTTTGATAAACTAACGTGTAAAAGTTAAAATACTCAATCTGTTTAATAATTTAAATTACTGTTCTTCCCTGGCCTCTCCCACCAAGAGACCACCCCAGGCTACCTGCTGCTCCACAAGAGCCCACAGAGAGATCAGGTCTGCTACCACGGCAGTGAAATCACGGCAGTAAAATCACCTGATACTCCTGTGTGGATGATGGACAGACTCTTTGTGAGTCTTCTTCATCCAAGCAGTTAATGATTTAAACAGGATATTAAGATTTCACGTTAAAACACTTGGCGCGTCCACAGAGAGGCAAGATGTGTCTTGTCTCTCCAGAGAGGATTGTTGTGACTTGTGTCTCTGGTGGGGCTACGTCTAGACTGCAAGCCTCTTTCGAAAAAGAGCATCTAGACTACAACCAGTACTTTCGAAAAAGCAAGCACCCAAGTAGTCTGGATGCACTCTTTCGAAAAAGCACAGTTTGCATCACATAGAGCCTTTTTTCGAAAGAGCATTTTCGAAAAAAGGCGTTTTTCCTCGTAAAGTGAGGTTTTCCACGGTCGAAAAAACTACCGCGTTCTTTCGATTTACTTTCGAAAGAATGTGGCAGCAGTCTAGAAGCAGGGGAAGTTTTTTCGAAAAAAGTCCACTTTTTTCGAAAAAACCCTGTAGTCTAGACACACCCTTGGTGAACAAGCCCTTTGCAAACTATGTGAAGAGGTAAGATGTTTTGTTTCAAGGGATTTATTCTTCTGTCTTTGGGTTGCACGTTGCCTAGTCTTGAATGGAGTTAGCTGTGACAACACATTTCTGAGACATTCTGACACATAAAGTGAAACCTGTGCTAAAGACCCAACATCCAGTGAAAGTGCTGCTGTCAGAAGAAGTAAATTTAAAGTCTCTCCAATTTTCTTCAAAGATCGACTCTACCAGGCAGTGTGGCTTTTACTAATTGGTTCCTTATATTTGTGAAGGGTGACTAAATGTTAACTGGATCTTCTTGGGTAATACCAACAGATTGCTTTGGGCCTGATCCTAGCTTAAAATTTAAATTGAATCAGGTCCTTTGTAAGGAGGCTGGGAAGTGGTCTCATTTGGCACTTCTTACTATGTATTATTTTGCATAATTAATATAGCCATTGCCATCATGGTATTGACACATAAAATAGGCCAGCACCATTGACTTCCATGGAAAATGAACAGTGGTGCTGAGGATTAGTGACATGGTCTGCTCCACCCTGTAATTGTCATGGTTAGGTCAATATTGTCATTATGGCTTGTGGAAACAGAGGACACTTGATAGTTTTGCTGCAACTTCAAAAAATGTAGTTGCAGTACATAAGAACAGACATACAGGGTCAGACCAAAGGTCCATATAGCCCAGTATCCTGTCTGCTGACAGTGACCAATACCAGAGGCCCCAGTAGCAGGGAACACGCAGGTAACCCTCCTGTTATCCATTTCCAGACAAACAGAGGCTAGGGACACCATTCCTATCTATTCTGGCTAAGAGTCTGCCCTGATCTCCGCCGGACAGCCCCGCTGCTCCCAACCCTGCTTCCTAGAGGCCGGTCCCCCTCCCCCATCATATTGTATTTATAATTGGGATTATGTTTTCCAATGTGCATTACTTTACATTTATCAACATTTAATTTAATTTGCCATTTTGTTGCCCAATCAGTTAGTTTGGTGAGATCTTTTTGAAGCTCTGCACAGTCTGCTTTGGTCTTAATTATCTTGAGCAGTTTGGTATCATCTGCAAATTGTGCCACCTCACTGCTTCCCCCTTTCTCTAGATCATTTATAAATAAGTTGAATAGGACAGGTCCCAGGACAGACCCTTGGGGGACCCCACTAGTCACCTATCTCTACATGGAAAACTTACCATTTATTCCTACCTTTTGATTCTTGTCTTTTAACTAGTTATCAATCCACAAAAGGACCTTCCCTCTTATAGTATAGTTGCATGTGGGGGCTTCTATTGTGCCCAAACTCATCCCTATTGGTAGAGGATGGTGAAAGGAGTTCTTAGAGGGGTTACATGACACGCCTTACTTCTGGTCATGTGTCCATCTTGACCCCAGAAGTACCACCCCAGTGGTGGGATTTCCTGAGGCAGGTGGACGGGGCTTAAGGTGTCAGGGGTGTGGCTTGCAGTGTCAGGGGGTGTGGTTAATGTGCCCCTATTTTTGGTTCAGAAAATATGGACACCGTGACTAGAATACCAGTTTAACCAGGCAGTTTTCCAGGGGAGAGGGAATCTAGTAGAAAGAATTCCCGCCCCAAAGGAAGTCTATTTAAGCTGAAAAGGTATAACTCTCTTTGTCTTTGGCTGGTGTGACATACCCAAAAGGATTGCCAGGGACCCAAGATCTTCTCTGACTTGAAGAATCTTAAAAAACAACAAATAGTCTTGTAGCACATTAGAGAAAACAAAAAATGTAGATGGTATCATGAGCTTTCGTGGTCACAACCCACTTCTTCAGATGGAGTTTAAGGGGTCAAATTTTCAAATAAACAGCACAGAGAGAGGATGGGGGGGAAGAGGAGGGGAAAAAAATGGGAAAGAAATTGTCGATTAGAGTGTCCGTGCTAAACGAAGCTGATAAGAATAAAACAACAAATGATCTGGTAGCAGTTTGTGAGAGTGAGGAGTCATTTTCCAGGATAGGTTGTAGATTGTTGATAATGCATTGGAGGAGTTTAAGTTGGGGTCTGTAAGTGATGACGAGTGGTGTCCTGTTTTCTTCTTTATAGGGCCTGTCTTGAAGTAGCTGATGTCTGGGTACTCGTCTGGCTCTGTCAATCTGTTTTTTCACTTCTCCAGACGGGTATTTCAGTTTTAAGAATGCTTTATATAAATCCTGTAGGTGTTTGTCTCTGTCTGTAGGATTGGAGCAAATCCGGTTGTATCTTAGGCTTAGCTGTCAATAGTTGATTGGGAAATGTGTCTTGTATGGAAGCTAGAAGCATGCAAGTATAACAGTCTGTAGGTATAAGGTGGTGGAAATGTGTCTGATGTATAATTGTACTGTAAAAGATTGTAAAAGACGTTGGCTGGATGGCCTACTACATTCCACATCCAAATGATGACATAAAAAAACCAAACAAAGCGTATTTCGAGTACGTACTAAGTATTCTTATCAGCTTCATTTAGCAGGGACACTCTTAATTGACAATTTCTTTCCCCTTTCCCGCCCTTCTTTTTCCTCCTATTCCTCCCTCTCATCCCTTCTCTATGCTATTTGTTTGAAAATTGGACCTCTTAAACTCTGTTCATCTGAAGAAGTGGGCTGTGCCCAAAAGAGATCATGATATCACCTACATGTTTTGTTAGTCTTTAAGATGCTGCTAAGATATTTTTGCTTTTTAAGTTTTTCCAGTTACAGACTAACACTCTCTGAAACTTTAACTTGAAG